GGGTGAGGTAAAAAAGACTGAGTGTGCTGCTCTGTTGTGTAAACGACTTATGTTGGTTTTTCACATTTTATTTCATTAACAACAAAAAAGGTGTCTTTTACCATCCTCCTGACCATTTCTGTGTGCGAGGTGGCTGAGCCTTTGCAGGTTTGGCGTGGGAGGTTGTGCGCTGGTTTGGAACAGAAATGTCTAGCACTTGAGATTCAGCTTCAGTCAACTGGACAATCAATGATTATGTGACTTTGCCGTTTTTACTCTTCAATCAATCTCCAATTTTCACTGCACTTCCACATTACTAACCGCTGGCAAACGTTATTTTGGTGCACATCCAAATTGATCCCCAATCACTGGATTAGCAGATGTTTTAGAGACGTGCTATTCTCTGTTAGTCAGTCACAACTCTGCTCATCCTTGTTACCACATTCATCTAAGGGCCTCCCCATGCCTGCCGCCTAGTGCCGGGCAAACGGCACCTTACGAGAAAGCTGACGCCAAATTTACATCACATCCCCTGTCGCAAGCCGCCATTTTTGCTGATCGTGCACGTTTCAACTGACTTTTACTGAAATGAAGAGATGAGTTGACAGTCATGTCTCTTTTATATATATCAGTCCAGAAGCTCAGCGATTCTACAGGTGGAGGTGCTGCAATAGTTTGAAAAGATGGGATCACTCTGTATTTCTTTTGTTTCTGTTTTTGTTTTTTGCTTCCACTTTTTTTTCATATTCACCTTCTTGTACCAATCCTGATGTGGAGGTTTTGTCTGAGTGATTTAGTTATTTACACAGCATTACAAGCTTGGCCCAGAAAAGAACCACCAAGGAGGTATCCAGGTGGCACCCAGGCCAGACACGCAAACCACATCAAATGGTTGCTGGCAGCCCAAAAGAAGTGAAGTGTTTTCGGCATGTCCTACTACTTACTGGGTCAGTTAATGCGTTTCACCTAAGCATTTACTTCATTGATACACAGTCTACGATGTGGCACGTATTTCCAAAGAATTACTAAAATAGGAGGAACTTGAGGAGCAAAGTTAAACCAAGATACCAACTTGCAAGCGTGCATAAGAAGCAGCTGGTTGTGACTGAAGCTAGAAGTTCTCTTACATTGCTTGCTTAATAGCTTCAAGCTGAAATTGGTTGAACATGTTGTGAATGATTGTTATAAATCAGGAAGTTCTGGAAGCTCTTCCCTACTTAAAATATCCTTTTGCCGTACAGTTGTAAGACACACTGGAGTACAAAATATGAACATCTGTGGAAATGTGTGCTGTATGTCCACATGGCAGCCAATATACTGTTCACTGGTTAATCCAGCCATCAGAGCAGAGCAAATGCAGATGTGTCTGTGTGTATGACGGTGCTCATAACCATCCTCTGTCCAATTCTGTTTTTTCCATCAGGGAGTGAATCGTGCGGGGAAGGGCGCTCAGCTGGGACGCAACGGTGTGCGGCGAAAAGACTGGCATGACTATGAAGCAATCAAAAGAGACGCATCTCGATCTGGTTTGTCAAAATCTCTTTTTACAACTCCTGAAAAAATGAAACTTAATGAAGAAAGATGCTTTTGGATTTGCACACACACACACACACACACACACATCCAGAGCGTTGCTCTCCTGGTATCCAGCAAGGGTGTAAATCTGTGCTTTGGATACATTACTGGTGCCATAAATACTGTTTATATCTTCTACAATCATCACTGATTGGGTTTAATTTTCTGTTCAGGGAAAACAGCTTTTACACACTGAGTGTAAATTAGTCCAAATGGGTTTATCTCCTGAAATGAGCCGTTAAAGGCTAAAAGTTATTTTCCACTCTTCTTTCCTTTTGGAGGGAAACGTGGGTAATTTCTGCTTAATGAAACATGCATGTCTGTAGATGATTAGAGTTGTTTTTTGTTCTCCACAGGACCATACTTCTTCTTTTAATGAATCCCCAAAATATGGTGATGTAATATTATCCTGTGTGGCTTTTTCTTTAGTCGTTTTGTTCTCAAACATTAATCTCCGATTTATATATCCAGAGACAAACTAATATATTTTAGATTAGTTTTGACTTCAGCTATAGTTAACAAGTGGGTGTGGAGAGTGTTCTAGGATGGATGCAGCTTCTAGGTCTAAAAGGTGGAGCTTTCTAAGCATGAGAAGGGGGCGACTCCTGTGGGTCCAAAAGGGGGGGGGGGGGGGGGGTGGTGTGTGTGTGTGTTGGTGTGTGTGTGTGTGTGTGTGTGAAAACATTTCCTGATGAGGTCATGGACTCAATTGCTAATTTGAAGTGTTCTTAAATAAAACACAGCATTCATTTGAGTAAATTTGTATTACAGTGAATATAATTTTAATTCCAGTTATAATTCTGTAATTCTAGTTCGTTAAGTTCTTTTCTTTATCTCGTGCACGCCTCTCTTCCTGTAGTGATGCAGTCACTAAAAGCCCAAATTCACTTACTGTTTAATTTCTCCCTCTTGTTGAATTTCTGTGAAGAGAATGACGTGTGAGATTTGCTTGCTCCCTTTTGGTCTGTATAGATTAAAGTTTTTGTGATGAAATGTTGTTCATTTGTAGGTAACGGTGAACAGGGGAAGCCGTTCCCCCTGACTGATGCTGACCGGGTCGATCAAGCCTACAGAGAAAACGGCTTCAACATTTACGTCAGCGACCGCATCTCCCTGAACCGCTCTGTTCCTGACATCCGCCATCCAAAGTGAGTTATGTGTGTTTTCGGTAGAACACCAAAAAACTTGTCACTTTATAGTCTTATTCATATGTTTAAAGATAAATCTGCAGAGTCTCTAGCGTCACTCTGTATATGAGACTGCACATTACTGGCCTGCGTAGTAAAACACACAAAGTTTTACTACACGAGCTGCCATTTGATTAGCAGTAGAGTTTTTACAGAGGTAGACTTCATGAGTCAGTGAATAACTGAGTGTTGTTCAGTGCTGTTCCAACAGGCTTATGTTGGGGATTTTTATCACATCTCAATCTGCCATATCAGTCATTTCTATTGAGTGTGAGGTGGGCACCAGATGAAAAGAAAAAGAGAAAACACTTCTTAAAATTTTAGCGAAGTGGCCAGTAGCCTCAGGCAAAACTGCCATTTTCTACAAAAAATACATCTCTGTTGGTGTGAGCATTTTCATCATAGAGGCAAAAATGGGCCACACAGGACCAAGGGTCTGCAGGTTTTCATTCCAGCCAAAGACTGCAGCAGGTTATTTTACAGATTGGCATTCCATCAACCGGAGAGGAAAAAATGAATCACCTGCTGCAGTCCTTTAGCTGGATTGAAAACCTGCTGGTTCTCAGCTCTTTGTGTAAGATACATGTTGTGCAAGGCTAATATTTGAAATCAGTGATTCAGATAAGCTTTCTGCTCAACAAGATGCTGATTTACACTAATTAATAGTGAAGGTCAGTGGAAATGTTTTTTTTTTTTTTTTTTTTGCCTTGAAAAGGACGGGAAAGGCGTTCATAATGTTTAGGTTTAAGCACAAAACTGTGTATTACAGTGCTTTACAGAACAGAACACAGGCATACTCGCACAAACACAATCAATGTGTTCATTGCTGTTTAGCTGAGAGTACGGATGTCAAACATGAGGCCTTGGGAGTAGCCAGCAGGCTGGCTTTTAGCTTGAAAGAAAAAACAGTGAAACTTGCAGTGAAATATATTTTAAAATGAAATGCATTGCTGTTACCAGCATGGCTATGTTCAGACAGTAAGACTATACAGGAGTGAAAATGTATGGAAAGTCCACACATCCTCACAGGAAGCTGGCAGCAATGTGGTGACCACAGGCCATAGAACCAAAAGAAACAAAAAAACAACTTAACTTAACTTTGGACCTACTTTAAGCTTCGGCAGAGTGATTCAAGCAACTACTGATGAGAGTGAAGGATACTGCTGATTGACATTAGAGGGATACAAATAACCACTAAACTGGTATGCAGTTGTAAGGAAAGTAAATGTAATTAATGTGGAGACATTATGATGCAATTACATTTATTTTACTGAGACATCAGGCTGTTCTTCATATTTGTAGGATGCACTTGTAGTTCTTTAGAGAGGGCATTTTATTCTGTTCTTTTCTTCCTTCCTTTTGATGTTTGGTTTTACTACCTCAGGGATCGATTCGGGCTGTATGTGGCCCATGAACTAAAATAAGTGTGACACCTCTGGCTTAGAGCTAGCATATAGTTGGTACATTCGCTGTTTGGGTCAGATAAGGAGGTCAAATTCCTACCAATGATTAACTGTGTCTGAAGACAACTTTAGGCTTAAACACTACATTTGGTTTAGTTTGAATGTCCAAAAAGAGCCTTGATATGTCCGTCCGTAACGTCATCTGACTGGTTGTGTTACTTGAACAAAGAAGAATCGACTCTAAAGTTCAGACCTGATGAAATTCCACAGCAATAAAAGAGGAAAAATGTTGTAAAGCTGTTTAACCAGAGTGAAAGTTTAATGAGTTTGGAATGGGTACTTTTTCTGCAGTATATGGTAAATGGCCTGTATTTGTATAGCGCTTTACTCAGTCCCTAAGGAACCCAAAGCACTTTACACTACATTGTATAGTGTGTATATATAAAATTATTATTTAGCAACTTCAAAATCCAAATGGTTAAATATCCTTCTTTTAATGCACTGTTTAAAAAGTCTCTTTAGTCTAATTTATTTTTAAACATAACAATTTTTAACAGATTGAAATCTTTTGATTAAGTGACAAATGTTCACTTAGATCCACAAGTTTGATGTTTGACAATCACCAACAACTGCATTATGTTCACGTTATTTTCATTTTACAATGACCAGAGCTTAACTGTATCTGTGCTGAAATGGACGTATTCATCAACCCAGCAATCCACAGGTTCCATACAGGCATCATCCAACTCTCCTGACACGTGCAGACATGATAAAAGTAGTCAAAACTGAGAAAATTGTCACAGAAACTCAAGAAGCTTAAATTAATTTAATTTCTGAATACATTAACACTACTTATTGAACTTAAAGAGTAGGTGCATTTGGGTTTAGCGTGTGGTCAAAATCTGCTATGGAGGCTTGAAAGAGTTTAGTGATTTCTAGAGGAAAAAATGCAAAATGTCCAAAGTGAAGCAAATACCGATTTCAATGTAAAGCAGAAAGCCATTATTAGACACCAGGACAATTCTGCCCTAACCAAAACCTACTTGGTAATGTTTGCACCTTTATTATCCAGGCTGGCTTTGGTCCAACTCATTAACGACGAGCACTGTTTCGAACAATTGCTCCGATTATCAACCTGACCAGCCTATTAACAGGAGAGAGTTGGCTTTACACACAGAAGTTGATAATGCACCATGTGTCGCCCATGTACTTGTAAACCATGTTCTTGATAGTAATTAACAGTGTCATTGATGTCCCCCTGTGTGCAAGGTGTTAGGAAGTGACAGAACATGTGTGCCACGTTGTACGGGAGCAGCTTTCCGTCTGGCTGCTGTGGGCTGCGAATATTTTTCAACCAGGATTTTCTTGGGAGGAGAATGAGTGCAGAGGATGGAGAAGTGGAAAGTCTGGCTCTTTTGATTGGTCCACAGTGAAGCAACAGGGAAGCTAATAAACGAGACAAACTCAAAAACCCTTTATGACCCCCATTTCCTGCCATGGTTATTGAACTGGATGGAATGAATAACATATTGATGATTTTGCTAATCTGTGGCCAAGAGGCCATTAGAGTCCAATGGGATTATCTCCTTTGGAGTTTAAATAAATGTCTGGCTTTACTGTTGGAGTCTGCAGAAAGCTCGTGGAATAAAAATGGTGTGAAAACAATTTTGTTCTGTGGGAACATGAATGTGCATAGCAAACGCCACCATCAGTTCTCATGTTTCTAGTTAAAGGAGGGGTTCATTTGTAGAAGCATTCAGAAGGCAGATTTTATGAGCAAGAAGTGTAATGTGTAACTTCATTGATTGGAGGTCATTTTAATCAATTCTGTCATCTTTTGTTTGATTACTCCGAGATGGAAGATGATCCCAAAGGCAAAGCCTTGCTCAAACTTCTAATAAAGCCAAATTCTGCAATTCCTGAAATGGCCACTTGAGGCTCTCTTCAAAAGCAGGTCTATTCCCGTAAACATCCATGGAAAATGCCGCAGCTTTGTAGCAGAAATGAATGCCTTACTAGCCTGGTACAAAAGGCGGTTATATCTCGGTTGCTAGTTCAACATCTTCATAACATCTTTATAGGAGTTATGATTTTTATAACGCATCTTTTTAAATTTTATCGAGGCCTGTTCATTATTAAAGATTTTACCTGTTTTGAGTGACATATTCGTGTGAAGTAGGCTGCTAGCAGTCCACTAGGCCTCACTTCAGCTCACTGACTGGGCCTTGTTTTGTTTTTTTTTTTTTTAATGCTGTTGCCTTATGTAACGCATTTAATATCTGACAAATAAAAACTGCTGTGTGGTACAGTCCATCCAAAAAGTCTGTGCTTCAGTTTGGACAATGACATTGTAGAATATTAAGCTGTTTTGCAGCACTGATTAGCAGAAAAAAACAAACCATGCTGGGGACCAGAATTGGGAGTCGGACCCAGCACGCTTTTGTTCTAGAATTTATGCCTAAAACTAGAAAAGACCAGTTGAAGAATAACATGAACAAACAACAAGTGCAACCGCTAGCACTTAACTTAACTACTACTTGGCTTTACTCTTCATGAATAAGATGAGACAAGATGTTTGCTTCTTTGTTTACTGCCCGGTGTCGTGGACTTGATGCGATGACGAGGTGCACATTAAGCTGAGCATTTTCTAGTATTCAAAGTATTCAAAGACAGATGCTGTAGAAGCACGGTGAGCCATATGGGCCCGTGTTTGCAGTACAGAGTGCTGGGTTCTTTCCAGCTTCTCCTCTGACTCATTTAAGAACAAAATACTGAAAATAAACTCAACGGCAACATTATAAATATCATCTGCTTAACAGCTTTGGATCTGGTGACCCGATTCGTCACAGATCAGCCTTGAGCTCTTTCCCTCTACCTGACAGGGCTGTTCTCTGACCCTGCTGTCACTTTCTTGTGGGAAGCAGTTTTAAATGCTTTCCCTCGCAAGGTCCCTCCAGGACAGCATTTATGTTCTTTCTGATTTCCCCCCCCCCTTTTCTTCAGATTTATAAAGTTTCCACATCCTGTGACCTTATGAAGCATTTTCCATCACAGAGCCAGTTTCCACCAGTACGGCATCACGGTGGCACACTTTATCAAGTTTATATTGGACAGGGAAAGTCTTTATTCAGTAAAGGTACAGGTGCTGGCACAATGATAACTTAATAGAAAAACTTGGAGTTCTTGTTCTTGCCTTTTTTCTGGTTCAACATTTGGACATGTCTTTCACAACCATTATTTAGAAGAGGTTTTTCATTATATATGACAGCTTTGAGTTCATAACTGGATCTTTGCTCAGCCAGAACCACCAACGGGCGATGGTTAAAATCTGACTCAACAGAGTTCTGTTGAAGACTGAACATTTTTATTGTCTAGGCCACTTGGGCTTGTGGGAAACTAGCATGAGGACCCAGATGTAGGGCTGGGTATCGTCACTGATTTCTAGAATCGATTCTATTCCGATTCACAAGGTCCTGAATCGATTTGATTTGAATCTGGGAAATTTTTCCTCACACAGTCAGAAATATTATAATTCAGATCAGTACATTTACATATTTTTGTATCTATAAAAAGGAAGCTGACACTTTCCAGACTTTATCAAAGGTGTGAGCATTTTGTTTACATCTTTGTGCAGAAGCCGTGTACCTGCTCTCATTTACTGTCTTAGCTGTTTGGTGGTTGTCAAAATTTTGTGACGTTTCACCTGAGATTCTGGAATTTTGGGCAAAATACATTTATATAAAAAAATCGATTCAGGATTTTCATGAATCGATATCATGTTATCCAAGCCAGAATCGATTTTAATCGATTATTAAAACCTACCCAGATACTTCACACAGGGTAACGGGATGGGGAGGCCAGCAGGTGTATCTGTTTACTGGTCAAAGTAACAGAGTGACGGGTGTCCGACAGCTGTGTGCCAAATCTATTCACATCAGGCCCGGGCACCTCTACAGGATTCGTATATCCATTTCGCTCTCGCTCACTACCTGAATGACATGATGGAGAGACACAGAGGATGGGTTTCAGGCAGCCACACGGGCCTTGAGAGACTTAATTACTGCCGCGATAGATTCTCCTCTTGATCTTTCAGAGAGCGAGAGAAAGAAGAGACAAATGTCTAGAGGGCAAGCCAGCAGGTGGTATGCTTCATTAGATCTTATTAAAAGAGCAGCTCATTGTTCAGGTTGGCTGGTAGAGGGCACAGCAGTACAGCAAGGTAAAGGGCAGCTCCACAGGTTCCAGAAGAATTTCTACCACGCTCTCCATTAGCATTTTAAATAATAACCCCAGCACAGAAACACATGGAGGATTATTCTAACTATGTGGTAACTGCATTTTGGTAAAGGCCAAACAGACATGATGATGAGGCTCTATGAACCTTTGTTACAAAGAGAAGGGCTTACATGTACAATGTACCCAAAGAAAAGGTTGTATAGAAAATCCGATGAACTTGCAGAGTTAAAGGTAAAAGAATAAAACATTTTACAATGCTTGCCACTGAACTAATGAGTGTGGGCATGCCTGTTGCTAACACAATACTATAGTACGCTAGTATGCTACATTATACAGTGGGGCAAAAAAGTATTTAGTCAGCCACCGATTGTGTAAGTTCCCCCACCTAAAATGATGACAGAGGTCAGTAATTTGCACCAGAGGTACACTTCAACTGTGAGAGACAGAATGTGGAAAAAAAAATCCATGAATCCACATGGTAGGATTTGTAAAGAATTTATTCGTAAATTAGGGTGGAAAATAAGTATTTGGTCAATAACAAAAATACAACTCAATACTTTGTAACATAACCTTTGTTGGCAATAACAGAGGTCAAACGTTTACTATAGGTCTTTACCAGGTTTGCACACACAGTAGCTGGTATTTTGGCCCATTCCTCCATGCAGATCTTCTCGAGAGCAGTGATGTTTTGGGGCTGTCGCCGAGCAACACGGACTTTCAACTCCCGCCACAGATTTTCTATGGGGTTGAGGTCTGGAGACTGGCTAGGCCACTCCAGGACTTTCAAATGCTTCTTACGGAGCCACTCCTTTGTTGCCCGGGCGGTGTGTTTTGGATCATTGTCATGTTGGAAGACCCAGCCTCGTTTCATCTTCAAAGTTCTCACTGATGGAAGGAGGTTTTGGCTCAAAATCTCACGATACATGGCCCCATTCATTCTGTCCTTAACACGGATCAGTCGTCCTGTCCCCTTGGCAGAAAAACAGCCCCATAGCATGATGTTTCCACCCCCATGCTTCACAGTAGGTATGGTGTTCTTGGGATGCAACTCAGTATTCTTCTTCCTCCAAACACGACGAGTTGAGTTTATACCAAAAGTTCTACTTTGGTTTCATCTGACCACATGACATTCTCCCAATCCTCTGCTGTATCATCCATGTGCTCTCTGGCAAACTTCAGACGGGCCTGGACATGCACTGGCTTCAGCAGCGGAACACGTCTGGCACTGCGGGATTTGATTCCCTGCCGTTGTAGTGTGTTACTGATGGTGACCTTTGTTACTTTGGTCCCAGCTCTCTGCAGGTCATTCACCAGGTCCCCCGTGTGGTTCTGGGATCTTTGCTCACCGTTCTCATGATCATTTTGACCCCACGGGATGAGATCTTGCGTGGAGCCCCAGATGGAGGGAGATTATCAGTGGTCTTGTATGTCTTCCATTTTCTGATGATTGCTCCCACAGTTGATTTTTTCACACCAAGCTGCTTGCCTATTGTAGATTCACTCTTCCCAGTCTGGTGCAGGTCTACAATACTTTTCCTGGTGTCCTTCGAAAGCTCTTTGGTCTTGGCCATGGCGGAGTTTGGAGTCTGACTGTTTGAGGCTGTGGACAGGTGTCTTTTATACAGATGATGAGTTCAAACAGGTGCCATTCATACAGGTAACGAGTGGGGACAGAAAAGCTTCTTACAGAAGACGTTACAGGTCTGTGAGAGCCAGAGATTTTCCTTGTTTGAGGTGACCAAATACTTATTTTCCACCCTAATTTACGAATAAATTCTTTACAAATCCTACCATGTGAATTCATGGATTGTTTTTTTCACATTCTGTCTCTCACAGTTGACGTGTACCTCTGGTGCAAATTACTGACCTCTGTCATCATTTTAAGTGGGGGAACTTGCACAATCGGTGGCTGACTAAATACTTTTTTGCCCCACTGTATATCTCCAGTCCATCTGCAATTTATTTAGGTTACACTTCATCGAGCAGGTTGAAAAGGAATAAAGCTATTTTTGCAACTTTTTTGGTCATTAAAAATATTAAAAGATTATTAGGAAAAATGTGCAAATCTTCCTCCTAACTTCTAAAAATAAAGATTTCTTCCTCTTCTTGTAACACAACAGCTCATTGAATGTCCTTGAATGTTAGACTGTAGCTCAACAGAATAAGACATCTGAAAATGTCGTCTTCACAAAAATCAAAAACTGTCCCTGATTTAAATTTGGCCAATCAGTGCTCATAGGTCATGTCATTGTGTGCTTCAAACTTGCACTTGTACACAGAAAGTATTTAAACTGTTAATCTGTTTTAAGCTGGCCTTTTCAAGTCAAGGACCTTCACTGGTGATGAGAGCTGGATCTCAAACTCCAATCCAGAGACCAAACAACAGTTTTCAGCTCGCAGCATCCAAGCTTGAAAGCAACGGTCAGGTGACCAGTAACGTGTTTGTTTTTCCAGCGTTCACAGGGTTTTGCTGTGAAACTTGATGTTCAGACTGTCAATGCAGTGTTCTGCTTTAACAAACTGAACTATGGTGTGTATCTACCATAGTGTTTTGGCACAAAGTGGATGGAAAATGCAGGCCATTACTGGTCACACCAACACAGTCGTTGCTCATCAACCACTTGTTCCAAGATTTATCTCCTGTAGATGTATTACCCATGTGAATACTGTAATAGGGACAACTTTGATCAGAACAGACCAATAGTGACCAATTCCAGGGAGCAATCCAAAATTACATTTCTGTTGGGGCCAAACGAAAAGGCCTATAATCCTTTATGGAGTTGGAGGCCTTTGTTATCACGCCTTGAATTATAGCTATTTTTCACTATTGTCTGTCATTTTCTAGATGAGATTTCAGAGTACTACTGAGCATTGGATTGGTTTGTCGTACTCCCCCGCCCCCCACCCCTTTGCATGTACTACACAGAAAGCAGAAGGCGGGAACCGCAGTAGCAACAACCGATTTCAGAATACCACTGAGCTTTGGATTGATTTTTCCTAGAAAGAAGTGTGTGTCGAGATTGTTCGTGGTTGTTAGTATTACTAACAGTAATTGGGCATCGAAGTCATCAAACTTTGTCCAGTAGTTAATGAGATACTTCACACTGGCTAAAAATATATTATTACATATTTCCCTTTTGTCTATTTCCCCTCTTATTTGTGTCTTCCATGTGTTTGTGTAGCTGTAAACACAAGCTGTATGCAGAGAAGCTGCCCAACACCACAATCATCATCCCGTTCCACAACGAGGGCTGGTCGTCGCTGCTCAGGACGGTTCACAGCGTGCTGAATCGCTCTCCCCCACAGCTCATAGCCGAGATCATCCTGGTCGACGACTTCAGCGACAAAGGTACACAGCGCACACACGCTCATCACTACTGAGGAGAAAACACCTGCGTTCGTGTACATACGCACAGTCTGTGTGGCTTGCTACAGATAACTGAACTTTAGGTGAACTATTTCTGCTGTTCTGTCCTCCCCTGCTCCTTTCCATGCACAAACACAAACCACTGAATCATTTGTTTGCTAGTAATGTTGACTGTTGCACAAATACCGAGCTGCTCAGAAGTAAACGTGGCGGCCAGCTTCTGCGGAGGCCCGAAAGTGATCCCAAGACACTCATGCGTATGTATATTATAAACAGACCGGGAGAGAAATGGAGACACTCTCTCTCATAGTGGTGAGTCAGGATTTCAGAAATGTATCTCACTGGGCCTGTCGGCCATTTCTTAACAAGACTAGAGTCTTGTTGCTGAGAGCCTTGCCTAAATTCACTTCTGAGCATTTGGTTGGTTGTTCTTGCCAGTATGGTCAGTAAAAGTACAATAAAATAAGAAACATAATGCATACTGCAGAAATCTTATTTGTAACCCATTCAGTATAATTCCAAGAATATTATTTCTATCTGCAGTAGTAATACTTGGGGTCAAGGCTGTTTTCTAGGTCCTTCCTATTAAGCTGGGCCATATCATACCGTTCATGGTAATACCGGTATAATGTTGGGCAACGATAAGAAAATGAAATATCGCGCTAGAATATGGGTAAAACGCACATGCGCAGTGCCTATGTTTTCATACGCACATAGCGGCGACGGAGAATGAGAAGAGCGAAAGTGGATTGGTTTGTAAAAATGCTGCAACTTCAGTGGTGTGGAACTGGTTTGGCTTTCGTCCGTCAGATACACAACAAAACACTATCTTTGGTAGAGCATGCTAGCGGGCCGTCGTTATTACTGTTTTTTGGAAAATACGGCACACTTAAAATCAATCCTTTGATTTTTCTGAAAGTCAACAGTGCCCCTTATAATCCCGTGTGCCTTATGTATGAATTCTGGTTGTGTTTACTGACCTCGAAACGATTTTATGTACACGGCGCTCGAAAATCTGTCAAATGTTTCAGTACGACTTTGCTGAGCTACGAAGCCGCACCGCTTGATGGATTGTCGGAGCATTACAGCTATCGTAGGCAGGCGCCTCGCGGAGTGATACGTACTGTGCTTCAACATAATGTTACCGTATTGTGTGTGTATAACCTCTTTTTAAGTTTTGTGCATATTATACATGGTTATGCTGAGGATGTGTCGGCTAGTTTCCACTGGAAATGCCTTTTAGTTAAACTGTCAGCAAGGAATTTGCATTTGCACTGTTAAATTTTTATATAACTTTAATGCAGATAAAAAACAGCTGCTTGTTTAAGTGAAAATGCATTGATGTTTTTTTTCCCCTAATAAAGTTGTGGAGTTGTAAAGTATTTTGTCTAGTGTCAATTATATCGTCAGTTATATCGTTATCACAAATTTTCAAATGTAAATCGTGATAAATATTTTTGGTCATATCGCCCTGCTCTACTTCCTATCCTCGTTTCAACTTACTTTACGCAGGCAGCTGTAGCAAAAACCCAACACAGACCACTTAGAACAGCTATGATACTGAATAAGGCAGAAACAGCAGGAAAGGGACAGCTGGGTTTCAAAGAGGCTTGCAGTGGCGCAGCAACTTAGAGGAGTTGGTGTGGTTCAGCTAATTTGGTGGTGGCCCAAACTAATATTACACTTGGTTATATTAAATGCAAGTCCTAACCAAGCTCTATGTGCGAGCTCGTAACATCAGCTGAGCTTTTTTGTATCATTGTAATAATGCCAGGGCAAATGTTTAGCTTAAGCAGCTAATGCCAGATGTTTGTCATGGCTGTTTGTGTATTTTCCTTCTAAAATCGACACCGTGGGTTAGTTTTCAAAGCAAAGCCTAAAGCTTCCCTGTCTGCATAAAAAGAATTTATATTGTTAATGTGTTCGGAGCTGCTGCCTGCAGCCGTCTCTGAACAGATGCTGATGATGAGGGGGTTCTGTGGCCCGGCTAGTGTTAGCGAGGTTAGCAGCAGAATAATCTACTTTCTGGTGTGAACCGGTATTCTCACACAGACAGCTTAATCAGTTTGAACTCTGGAATTAATGTACAGCTTTGAACCCTTACATAATAAATCGGGGGGACAAGTGCAATGTTATCAGCAAGGCCTCGATGGAGGTGAGAACACGATATTAATCACGAAGCCTGCTGCAAAGCCACCGTGTGATGCATAATTTCAGGTTCACTTTTCCAGCTCCTTAGATATTAAATAATTTATGGAGAAAAAAGAAGAAGAAGAAACTGGCATGAAGGAGGATTTTTACTCGACTTTCAGAGGTGAACTGCTCTTGTCGGTTGTTAAGGAGACAGGTAACCGCTCACATTTTATCAAACCCTGTCACTTTCTTTCAGGCTGATTAACAATCTCCGTGCTCCATGGCAGCAGGCTAGCCCGCAGAGTTACTGATGGCCTGTTATATTAATTGGCGCTGTTTTGTTTTGGTGCCTCACTGCTGACATGAGGAAGATAAACAATTGATGAGATGTTTTTGTCAGTGCAGTTATATTTTCTGAGGTGCTAATTAGTACCAGGTTTATATGTTGTGTAATTATAGCCTTGTTGCAGAGCGGCGTTTCAGGAACAGCCTCTTCTCTCCTTTTAATATCATAATTAATGCAACTATTCCTGTTTGACTTAGAGGATACCTGATGATTTATATTATCTCTGTGCTTGCTGTGCTCAGCTTTGTGTTGTATTGACGCAACAGAACTTTTCTCTTTGGGTTCAGGAAAGTTTTAAGTGGATTGTGAACTTCTGCTCATTTCAAGCTAATTTAACTTCTTGTGATGTTATTTTTAGATGTTAAAAGTGTAAGAATCTTAAAATAGATTAAATTAAATGTGAAATTAGAGTACTGTTGTTCCCAGTTTACATAAATTGCAATTTTGTAATGTGCGTGTAGGTGTGTGTCAGCTTCAGATCAGTTCTTGTGCTCAAAAGTTAGAATTCAAAAGACTATTATTGGAACCGAACATCATGTTTAATGAATATGCAGATGAAAGATGTAGCTCTAAAGTTATATACTCGATTAAATCCTCCCCTGAAAATCATTTTCTTGCGTCTTTTGAAGATAACATTGTTTATTTAAGTTTAATGTGTTGCTATAGATTTTCACTTTCTTTGGTCAACCAAAAAGGAAAGGGAAGCGGTTGCTGGAGCTGTACGTGGAAGTCATCATTATTGTAAATACTAAGAAGGGAGTTTTGGGTAGGAGATTTTCTTTTTTTTTTTTTTTTTCTTTTTTTCTTTTTCTTTTTTTATTCTAATGCATTATTTTAAAAAAATGGGACCAGACATTGACTTAAGATACTTAAAAACAAGTCGAATTAGTACAAGCACTGTGACAGGTTAGTGAGAGTGAGGGTTATTGCTTTGTAACAGAAGGCTGCAAAAGGAGGTGGGAAAGAAGGATGATGAAAGTTGAGGGGAAAAAAGGCACTAGGAAGAGATACTTTAAAAAAAAAAAAAAATAAAAAAAAAAAAAAAAGATTATAACTGTCAATATTTTAATAGTTAAACTGTGGCTGCCTTGTTGGGATGCATAGGTGTAAGATGCGTTACTTACAGGTCTTTTTGGTAATTTGTCAAACTGTGGCGCTCTGGTTTGGGGCATCTTTGAAAATTTTGAAGTTATTCCTGACGTGACTTTTTGTTTTGTTTTTTTTTGTTTTTTGTTATTTTGGGGGGGGGGGTTGGTAGCATCAGAGAATCCTAAATAATGTAGATGTCCAATGAATAATGCCGAATTATTGTTTCTTAATTCATCAGCTGTTTTGAATTTGTGTGGTAATGCATGTATTGTGAAAAGAATAGATAAATTTACATATTTGAGTCCCGGTTTGGTTGAAGCTTTAAAACATTCAGGTCACTCAGTACTCCAAATCATTATTATTGCAGCTGGTCCACCACTGTAATTCTGCCTCTAGATGACAAATAAACAAGCACGTTTTTGTTTTGTGATTCTGAGAAACTGACAAATTAAATCTGTCTCATGCAGTGTTGTAAAGTTTCAAAATCCACTCTTTCCTTGTGCTCCTTCTAATTTGAGGGTTTGAACTTCTTCACTCCAGCTATGGAAGAACTGTGAAATCTAATACAAGCTTATTGTAGGTTATTTCTTTCTTTTTTTGAGTGACTCAGTCAGTTATACTTTTTTGTATATTGACTGATTGCAAAGCACAGCCTGCCTCCTAACACAAAGAACAAAGCCACACAGAATAATTGACTGTGGCTGCTGAGCATTCACACCTATAGATGATTTCAGGAATACCTTAATGGGTTCTGATGCTTAGTGGTATTTAGTTGAAAGAGACTTGAATATCCACAAGTAATCTGAAGAGAAATAAATCAGTGTCATTATAAAATGAAGCCCAGAGGACGATCAATGATGAGACCTAGAAGTGTGACAATAATGTGGCTTTATAGTGTGAATTATCTAACTGAGTATTGCAAAGGTTGTTGTGATGACTCATGCCTATGACCACACAAAGGTCACTGTTCAGTTGTTTTTGCAGTACCATATGGCATTTCCAGGTGTCAACATTTTATAAAAAAAAGAAAAAAAAAAAGAAAAAAAAAAGCAGACTTTATTTACCCTCTAATATGTTAAAGAAGTTTTATTCTGAGCATATTATCATAAAAAATTCAAATAAAATTGAACGAAGAAACTGGGTAAATGGAAATGTGCACAATTTCTGATGATTTGGTAAGATTTTATTTTTATAATTTCTTACTGTTAAAAAAAAAAAAAAAAAGTTAGACTAGACTCTGTATTGTCATCATACATATACAACCAAATTGTGGAATATTAAATACAATCTTTGTAGTATCTTCAGTTCTCAACTGTGTTCAATCCAGGATCATTCATGAATTTTAACCAATGGGAGATGAAGTGAGGATAATGTCATAGGAATACCAAAAACAGAAAAAACACTTATTACATTA